AGATGGCGCCACTTGCTTTCGTTGCCAGGCTTCTTATCTTATCTAGTCATTAATTTTCTATCTGTTCATTGCATTTTTGCAGCTGAGGATGGTGTTTCGTAAAAACCATTGAACTAGTCCTGCGAAAATTTTGAAAATATAACGCTGATTTTTGTTGTTTGACTTCTGAATTAGTATTTATTCGGTGTGTTATTGTGTCTTAATCTAATTCCATGAATTCATTCTGTTTGGAAATGCATTCTTACTCCAAATTATATCCTCCTTTTCTTGAAACCCTAAAATAGCATTCTTTTGTAAACTTGCATTGAATACAATCCAGCCTCTTTGCAGTAATATTTACTCGCTCAATCATTTAACCCACACACATAATGTGAATTCAGTGTACCGTTGTTTGAAAGGCTAGGACAAATCGTCAAATAAGTGACCTCAGAAGATAGCATTGCACATATATCTTTTAGGTTTCTTCATGAAGAATTGGATGCACCTTATATGGCAAATATATGTAATAATTTTAAAATGTAACTTGAAATTATAGATGCGCGTTATGTATGCGAGAAAATACGGTACAATAATTAGTGCATCAAGCATAAATAATGTAGATTTAAAAAATGTAAATTTTACTCGCACATAATGCATATTACATAATTTTCAACTGAATCAAATCTAAAATAGATGCTTGAAATAAGACTACTTTAGAATGCTGCGTAGCTTTACATGCACAAATTAAGATATACCAAAGTTTCTCATGTATTTTTTCATCTAGTTTCTTAGCACCAGATTCATAAAATTTTTAAATATTTGGATTAATTTCCTTAGAGCATTCAGAAAATGTTCTCCTAAATGTTAGAATAAATTTGTCCAGATAGTAATTGTTTGGGTTTTAATAATAAACAGAATCCTCACAAATTCCTGCGAAGGTTATGTTGAACTTTTCCTTTATAACTGTTGAACCTTTATGCTAGCCTAATGAAAAAAAATCAACTTATCACAGTGAAGGAAACACAAACTGACATTCAGTCTATGATTTCATCAAATCAGATATACACTCACCTAATTGTTTATGAGGAGGCCTAAAGAGCAGCGAAAACAATAAGAAGAATAGGTAAGATTTCAGTTGCAAGGGAGTATAAGACTTGGGTGCAATTTCACTTATTTTGGGACCCTGGGTGTAAGCCTCATCCTGAGTATAGCAATGTAGTGCTGCGCATAACTTTTTATATGGTATAACGTAAAAAATTTCTTGGCTGAGAATAAATATTCTCAGCATGTGTAGGAAAAAGAGGGCGCTGCGCCGCCCGTATGTTTAGCTAATTAAGAGTTTCGGCAGAGAGGGTTGAGAGGTTGATGAGAGTGGTTGAGAGTGACATAAACTAGATACTCTGTAATCTGTATATAATATTTGTACATAGTCTTCTCTTCATTAAATAGATTTAGTTAAAGGAAAGTGTCTTTGTTTGGCCAATAGAACACAAGAACCACCGATAAAGAAGATGTAAGTAAGTTATTACATACATCAAGTTTTGGTAGCATCAGGCCAGAAGGTGAGTCATTTCATTTTATCTGCATGCAATTTATCTTTGATAATGAGTTTTGAAGAAACCGTCGAGAGAAATAGAAAAATTAGAGGTTCGGTTCGTACCAGTGTAACAAAATTAATAAGGAAATTAGATGAGGAATTGCAAAGCGAGAATCCGAACCTAGAAGTGTTGCAAGAATCACTTTCAGTGTTAATCGAGAGAGAAACTAGCTTGTTAAAATATGATGAAGTTATTAATGCTCAAAGCACTGTTCAGGAATTAGAGACAGAAGTAGAACATTGTTTAGAATACAGCGAATCCATCATTAGATGTAAATCTAAAGTCAATAGATATATTCAAAATGTGGGTAAAACCGGAAACAACTTCACAAGTTTCGGAAATCAAAAACTAATTATAATACTAAATTGCCTCGCATTACCTTAGAAACTTTCAGCGGCGATTTATGTAAATTTACTGAATTTTGGGCTCAGTATAAAGCTGCCATTCACGAAAACAATACGCTTCAAGATGTGTGAGAAGTTTAACTATTTAAGATCTTTACTCACCGGTTCAGCTGCAAAAGCTATAAGCGGATTGCCATTAATAGGAGAAAAACTATATAAAGGCCATCGAAATCTTAACTGACAGATTTGGGAAAAAAGAAATATTAGTTAGCGCGCATATGAACGTTCTCTAGCTTTAGAGCCAGTACGCCGTTCAAGTGATGTATCCAGTTTAAGAAAAAAAAAAAAAAAAAAAAAAAAAAAAAAAAAAAAAAAAAAAAAAAAAAAAAAAAAAACTATATGATGAAATAACAGTTCAAACAAGAAGTTTAGAGACATTAGATATTAATTTTAATTCTTACGGCAATCTATTACTTCCTATTTTATATAAGTGTATACCGCAAGATTTAGTGTTACAGTTTAGTAGGGAGCAAAAGGTCGACACAGAGTCAACAGTGTCAGATTTATTGTTGTTTTCTAAAGAGAGAAGTAGAAGCGCGCGAAAAGTCATCAACTCTGGGTCTTAAACAACAAACAGTTTCGATAACAAGTGAAAGAAATACCGACAACTATCGTAAGAGTGTTGCTCCAATTAAAAAGGAAATGGTATCAGCGGCAACGCTTAATACATCAGTCGAAAATTATTATGTGCGACTTTTGTCTTAAATCTCACCTTTCAAAAGACTGCGACTTAAGTATTTCAGAGAAACACAAAGCCGATCAATTTAAGTGCAAGCGCTGTTTAAAAAAGGGTCACAAAAAACCATTTTGTAAGGCAAAATGGGTTAAATGTAATATTTGCAAATCTTTGTCGCATTTAGAGAGCCTGTGTGATGCAGAAGGGCAAGAAAATAAATCCATTAAAAATACTGCGAGCGCAGCAAAAGAGACAAACGTTAGTTCACTATTCCTCGAAACACTGAGCAAGCAAATTCCTAATGACGTGATTTATTATCAAACATTGAGAGGTCAACTGGTAGGAAATAATTCCACATTTAACGTTAGGTTGTTATGCGATTCAGCTTCCGAAAGATCTTATGTTTGTCAGTCTATTTCCAGAAAAGCAAGTTTACCAACTATTGGTAAAGAAAGATTAAGAATTCATACATTTGCATCTTCGAATCCTCCAGTGCGAGAATTTAAAAAAAAAAAGACTTTCTCTAAAAAATAAGACAGGGTTCACTCTAATCATCGAAGCACTCGAAGTAAAACCCATATGTTCCAGTGCATCACCCACGCCATCTGCAGAAATTATAAACAATCTTCGCCAACAAGGATTTCACTTATCCGACAGCTGCGATAGTGAAGTGGCAGAGGTACAGATTTTAATTGGGAATGATTACTTGAACTGCATCTTAACGGGGAAAACACATCGGTTAACAGACTATTTAGTACTGCATGAAAGCATATTCGGTTGGACGTTGAGTGGTAGAGTGGGGGGAGAGAGTAAGAAGTTAAGTTCAGGGTCAGACTCCACCGGCTTGTTTATACACATCGATTCGGAAGAGGAATTAAAAATATCGGAACAGATTCGTCAGCTTTGGGAGATTGAAAGTCTAGGAATCTCTGAGTGCGCGTCGGAAAGGGGTTCTGGCGATGAACGAATAATTAAACAATTTGAAGAGGATTTGAAATATGTAGACGGGAGGTATGAGGCTCGCTTGTTGTGGAATAGGAGTCCAGAGCATTTGGAAAATAATTTTGGTTTAGCGAAAAGGCAGTTCGAAAGGGTGCAGCGAGAGTTAAAAGGTAACAGCTATGGAAATAATTAAATTTCAGACACAAAACAACATTATTCAAGAGTGTGAGGATTCGAGAGAGGGGTACTTTATGCCATTCCGAGCAGTGGTCCGTAAAGATAAAAAAAAGCACTCAAGTTCGAATGGTATTTAATTGCAGCAGTTGCGAAAGAGGAAAGCTATCGTTAAACGATTGCTTAGAAAAGGGCCCAAACCTAAATCCGAATATTTTGGATATCATTCTTTCCTTTCGAAAATTTAAAATTGGATTCTGCGGTGACATAGAAAAGGCGTTTTTGATGATTGGGATAGCAAGGGAAGATAGGCAATATTTAAAATTTCTCTGGTATCCTGATAATGACAGTGAGGACTTTAAAATTATGCAAATGAACAGAGTATTATTTGGATGTAATTGTTCACCGTTTTTATTGAGTGCAACGATCAAACATCATTTAAAGAAATATGCGGAAACAAACAAAAACTGTGTCGAGATGCTTAAATAGCTCACTGTATGCAGACGATTTGTGTTATGGAGGGGAAAGTGTAGAATCAGCTTTCAGTCTTTCATCAGAGGCGGTATCTATTTTGAGAGACGCGAGTTTTAATTTGAGAAAGCTAAACACTAACTCTAAAGAGCTGTGTGACTTGTGGGTTCAGGAAGGGTTGTGTGAAGAAAGTAGGTCTGAGACAGATAGTAAGTTGAAAGTGTTAGGCTTGGTGTGGAACTTAGAAGAGGATGGTTTGAAAGTAGAACGTTACATCATTGTTGAGTAGTTTAGAATCGTTGAGAAATAGTAAAAGATCGGTGTTAAGCACAGCAGTTAAGGCGTTTGACCCAGTCGGATTTATTTCTCCATTTGTGGTGCGAGTTAAGAGGCTGATGCAGGAAATATGGGAGAGAGGTTTGGAGTGGGATGCAGAGTTGCCAAAGGAGTTACGGTGCAAATGGATAAAGTGGTGCGCTGAAATTGAGGAATTAAACGCGTTGAAAATAGAGAGGTACTACTTTACAGAAGTTCTAAGTAAAGGTCAGTCGGTTGAAATTCATATTTTCAGTGATGCGTCAGTAGTGGCATATGGAGCGGTGGCATATTTTAGATATAAGAATGAGAGAGGAGAGGTATGTACGTCGTTTATAATGTCGAAGAGTAGGATAGCTCCGTTAAAAAAGTTGTCCCTCCCTAGGTTGGAATTGATGGGGGCTGTAGTTGCAGCTAGGTTAGGAAAATATTTATTGAAAAATGTTTCAGGATTTGGTAGGTAGGTTAGTTCTGTGGACGGACTCCGAAATTTGCTTGTGGTGGATAAAGGGGTCAGCGCGTGAGTGGAAGCAGTTCGTGTCGAATAGAGTTGCAGAAATACAAGACTGTACCTCGCCTGATAAGTGGAAATATTGTCCAGGGTCGGAAAACCCAGCAGATAAATTAACTCGTGGTGAAACAGCAAATGCATTGGTGAAAGATAATAACTGGTGGCATGGTCCATCATGGTTGAAAGATTCTGAAGATCAATGGCCTGAGCAGAAGTTTAAAGTAGAAACTGATACTCAAAATTTGGAACGTTTAAGCACTTATGTTCAAGTGACTATTCCAGAAGAAGAAAATGCGTTAGACATTACCAAATTCAGTAGTCTCGAAATATTGTTGAGAGTTACAGCTTGGGTAAAGCGGTTTGTCGCCAAGCTAAGAAAACGTGTCTGTGAAGGTCCTCTTACTGTATTGGAGATCCAAGAAGCTGAGGAGTACTGGATAAAACAAGTACAGAGAGCGAATTACTTTTCGGATATTCAACAACTAGAGAGGAATAATCTAATAACACCAGATTCTAAGCTTTACAGTTTAGCACCATATCTGGACAGTAGAGGTATTTTGCGTGTCAGAGGTCGTTTGGAACAATCAGAATTAATAGATGACGAAAAACATCCCATTATTCTGCCCAAAACGAAGTTCACCGAACTAGTGATATTTAGTGAACACATAAAAGTATTCCATTCAGGAGTCATGGCAACATTGTCCAAAGTCAGGAATAAATTTTGGATACCTAAAGGAAGACAAGTAGTAAAGACAAGTAGTAAAGAAAGTATTGCCTGGTGTGTAAAACGTTTGCAGTGAAGCCCGCCAAACAGTTAACGGGTCAGTTACCCAGAGATCGTGTAGTCCAAAGTAATCCTTTCACAGTTGTAGGCATCGACTTAACGGGAGCAGTTACTATTAGAGAAAAAGCAGGTAACCACAAAAAGGTGTACATAGCCTTATTTACATGTGCCGTCACTCGTGCTGTACACATTGAAGTGGTTTCAGATATGTCAGCAAAAAGTTTCATTTTTTCATTACGACGTTTTTTAGCAAGAAGAGGGAGCTGCAAAGTGATTTATTCAGATAATGCGAAGAATTTCCGCAGCACATGTGAAATAATTAAAGGATTTAAAAGAATCAAAGCAGATCCAAGTGTGAGTGATTTCTTGACATCCAAACATGGAAATTCATACCTGAGCGTTCCCCATGGTGGGGAGGGTTCTGGGAGCGTTTGATGAGAAGCATCAAGGAACCTCTGAAGAAAATCTTAGGGAGAGCATTACTGACTTTCGAAGAGCTCTCTACAATATTAACTGAACTCGAGTGTGTGCTAAATAATAGACCTCTAACATACGAGAGCAACGAGCTGGGTGAACCTCGCCCGCTCACACCTTCACAGTTTTTATTGCCAGGACGTGGTACATTTAACTTTCCCGAGCATTTCTTGGAAATTTTTAACAAGGTATCCGACAAAGAGACTTTAACCAGGAGGAAGCTTTACCAATCCAAGCTCTTAAAATTAACATGGATCAAGTGGAAAGAGCAATATTTACTCCATCTTAGAAATGCGCATAACTTTGCTAATCCTAAAACTGAGCGGAACCTTAAGACTGGAGACGTTGTGTTGGTAGAAGGACCAAAACAATCCAAACTACTTTGGGACATTGGGTGTAATTGAAAAACGTGATTATAGGAAGAGATGGACATGTTCGAGCGTGCCTTCGTTCGCACGCCCAAAGGACAATTCAGAAGATCGATCCAGATGTTATATCCTTTCGAGATTTAATTTAGAACTTTTGATATTATTGAGTTTTATTATATTATTAATTATTATGTTCATTTGTGGCTTTGATATATACTAGTATAGATTATTCTTTTTGTATTATTCATTTATATATGTCATACCATTTAGTATTAATCCATTATTAATTAATGTTGATATTGTTATGCAAGTAAGTTTGTGTACTCTTGTTAAAGAGTACAGGTGGGGAGTGATGTAGGAAAAAGAGATAGAGGGCGCTGCGCCGCCCCGTATGTTTAGCTAATTAAGAGTTTCGGCAGAGAGGGTTGAGAGGTTGATGAGAGTGGTTGAGAGTGACATAAACTAGATACTCTGTAATCTGTATATAATTTGTACATAGTCTTCTGTTCATTAAATAGATTTAGTTAAAGGAAAGTGTCTTTGTTTGGCCAATAGAACACAAGAACCACCGATAAAGAAGATGTAAGTAAGTTATTACAGCATGCATAGATAAGCCTTCGCATAAACCTTCAAAGTTAATCGATGTCGTAGATGTAAGTATGTGAGAAGCTACTGCTTAGCAATTATTGGCATAGGTGGTGAGATGCGGACATACTGCTCGGCGTCAGAAGTCCAAGTGGTCGAAGAAATGCATAATCGTAGGAAGGCAGATCGAAGAGGTGGGCTAACTTGTCCAAACTTTGTGCAGCCAATGAGAAACCTAGAAGGCAAGTACAAAACTTAGCAAGTCAGGCATTGGTAGGTGGGAGGGTCTTAGGATACTTAACTTTATTGTGAATATTGAGGGAGACGATCTGCTTCTTAGTCACTTCATATTTTCCCCATTCGGTCCTGATCCCTCGTGGATGTAGGTTGCTTGAATATGTCAGAGCCAACCAACGCAACTATGCCTAACAGCAATGATAGTTATCCTAACGTGGACGAGAGTGGCCTTTTTTACTGCAGCTCAACCACGCGAAAGCTGTGTTAGATTACCGCCTGATAATTTAGGATTACCTACGGAAAATGATAATTTAGATTCTGAAATGGATATAAGACGAGAAAGACTCATGGACTTGGAGAAAGAGATCAAAAGTATGCAAATCTCAATCATGATTTATCAGAAACGTCGTTCTGCTATGAAAGAGGACACGGTTACTGCCCCAGCGATAAAGCTACTTCAAAAGTTGAAAGCCGAAGCAGAGTAATTAAGAGGTAAGTGCAACTTTCCTAGTTCGTCAGGCATTAACCCACCCCCTAAACCAAAAAAAAAAAAAAAAAAAAAAAAAAAAACAGAGGAAAAACTGAAAATAGTAGTAAATGTAAACTAAATACTAACACTAAAAATATCAATAATGATGGATTTCTAATTTCAGCTACTAAAACTGTTAAGCTGCAAAAAATTGAAAAAGTTATTGAAAATATTGAAACCACAAATCAATTTAGTGTGTTAAATGAAAATATGATTATTGATAGCAATAATACTTATACTCCAGTATCTCAGGCTGTGCAACAGCAGACGATCCCCAGCCCTCTAGCTGTCCCTCTGATAAAGGAGATCTTGCGCACGAGGATTTTTTGAAAGAACTTGCTAATACCACAGATACTAAGCTCCTAGGAAAGGTTAATGGTGAATTGCTCAAAATTCTCCATCATAGCCCCTGCGCAAGGATGACACGCAAAATCGTGAAGTGTTCCACATTTTCCCCGGAGTCTTGGTTGGGAGTCCTGGGGTTCACAGGAGGTCTCAGGACTGTCGGTGTGAGGTGAGACAGTTGTTTCCAGCCACAACAGCTCGGTGAGCCCTATGATCTATTGGGTTTTCTCTGGATTGAAGTGTGGTTGGACTATACCTGCATAACTTATAGTAAACATTGGGTGTCCCAATACATTTCTACCAGAATCAGCATAGCCCAGAAGATCACAGAATACTTACTACCTTATTTAAAGATAAACATATTGAGCATTATGTTATCAATGTCAAGTATGATCAATCAATCAAAGTTGTCATTAGAGGAATTACTTCTTCAAACAAAAAAGAAAATATCATCAATTCTGCCAGAGGTTTCCCAATAGCTAAAGTTACCCAGCTAACTAGGAGAAGAACAAGAGCTCCAGTGCCATTACAAGTAATTAAGAATGGTACAAGTAATTCATGGTACAAGTAGTTAAGAATGAAAACTGACAAAATATTCCATCTTAAGGAACTTCTGCTATTCTCTGTCAAAAAGTTTGTCTCTAGAAACCAAGTACCCCAATGTTATAACTGTCAGCGGTGGCACTATTCCTCTGAAAACTGCTTCTTTACACCACGCTGTGTAAAATGCTCCTTCAAACACAAAACCATGGATTGCCCGATGTCTGGATGCACAGAAAATCCAAGTTGCAACAACTGTTCTCATAATCATACAGCATCATATTGTGGATGTCCTTGATTTCCAAAAAACAAGCCTTCCCAATCAAAACAGATAACCATGTAAAAATGTTTTTTCTTTCGCATAACTACTCAGCATCCTCTCTCATCTATGGCACTATCTATTAGAACCTGGCTAAACACCAAAGTGAGCATAAACACTTAAAACCGACTGAAAAAGTACACCAGTCGTCTTCTGCTGCACAGAATGGTAATAATCAAGATGAAATTATCTCCTCCAAAACAAAATTTTTAATAATTTTACATCCCCCCCTTTGCTACTGGTGTTTGATAAGAGGTTCTAGCAAAGTTCTGTGTTAAAATTATTTTGAACTTTCAAAGATTTTTCACTGTAGCATTTTAATTTTTTCTAAATTTTTAAGGGCATGTTTACATTTTTTTCAAGATTCTTTTTAGATTAGAAAAATATTCTTAAATTGGAAGATATTTTTTAATGATCTTATTTTGTATTTTTGTCATTTTCCTTAGCTTTGAGGAGGACCAGAATTTTTGGGTGAACTACTGTATTTACGCGAATCTAATGCGCATCGTTTTTGGCCAAATGTAGTATTCAAAATTGGGGTGCGCATTAGATTCGAGTGCAAAGTTCGCCGATGACCGTGAATTGACCCCGACAGGAAAAATTAAGCGTGCTGCACCGCACATTGTTGCACCTGGAAAAGCATCGAAGCACCAAAGATTGTGAAATCTTTCAAGAAATGCTGCATTTCAAATTCATTGAATGGCAATGAAGATGACGAGCTCTAGAACGCCGAGATTGATGATGATGAGGAAAGAAGAAATGAATCTGCGTCTGACGAAAAGAGCTGCGAGGATTCCAGTGATGAAAACAGTGAATAAAGACGTTTACTATTAATCACTAATTGTAGAAACTGTTAGCTAGATAGAAATGTTACGATTTATTTAATGTTCATATTTTACGATAGATACCGTATATACGGTAGTGGTAACTAACAGTGATTGTTTCACATAACAATTGCCCACTAATAGGTTAATTCTATGTTCTACTACTTTATGTATAAATCCATTGTTGTATAAAATAAGATTCAATAAATTCCTCATATCATTGATGCGCATTACATTCGCCGAAAAACAATTTTTTTATTATTTAAAGTTTTAAAATGGGTATGCGCATTAGATTCGATGGTGCATTAGATTCGCATAAATACGGTATTAAGATTAAAAAATATATTGAAATGGTTCATCAGCTGATTCTGGACACATCAAAGCAAGAATTTTGTTTTAGAAGGGGAAATGTAATTAAGTTCGACATACCTCCTCTTGACGATGTTAAAGTTGGTTGGATTCCTCTACTTTCTTGTTCTTTTACACTCTTTTTTTTTTTTTTTGTGATAGTTTATTTTAATTTTTAAATTTTAAAATATTCTAATTCTACATTTATAGGATTTTATGAAGTTCATTCGAATTTCAATTTTTAGAGTTTGTGAAAAGTTAGTTCTAAATTTCTTTCTTATATATATATATATATAAGAACTCCTCCTAGAAAAAACTAATTTATTTATTTATTTATCCCACATTTTCATTTTGAAACATTTTAGTACATGCTTTTCCTCAATATTTTAAAAGTTGATTTTTTGTTTTTAGATTTAAACATTTGAGTATATAAAAAAATATTGTTCA